TTCCATGGAGATTTTTGTTCGCACCGTCTGGCCCCCCCCCCCCTTTCAACCAGGCTAAATTTGTCCAAGGTGGCCTGAGGCAAAAGAGCAGATCCCTGCGCAGCTTCTCCTCCCACACTGGGCAGAGTGTTTCTTTCTGTGTGTTTGCATTTGCTGCTTTCCCTCTTACTGACGAGCTATGCACGCCATGAGAATTTTCCCAAGTCCCCAAAGCCTCACAGTGCATCCTCTCAGAGTCCTAACACATCTCTGACTCCTGCCAGATGTAACAGGACTTACAGAAGCTGCCTGATCCCACCAGTCACCGGGTGCCCCTGGTTCATTAACCTGGACAACAGCAGTAGTTTCTTGGTCCAGCTTTCTTGTCTTCCTCTCTCCAGTTCATATTACAGCTCATTGGAATATGGGGGTATTTAGAATTTTCTCCTCTTTCTCCTCCCCTCTCTCTCTCTCTTCTCCCTGCCATCCATCCTCCTCCCCAGCTCAATCCACAAAACAGAAACCTGGTGCAATTTATTTTTTTTCCCCCAAAAAATGCACTAATGAGCCTGAATTTTTGACTAGCTACTGTGTTTTGAAGGAACAGCACCATGTTCAGGATAGCACAGGTTGCTAGGGAAGCTGTGCTTGCCCCCTCCCTGGAAGTGTTCAAGGCCAGGTCGGATGGGGCTCTGAGCAACCTGGTCTAGTGGGAGGTGTCCCTGCCCATGCAGGGGGGTTGGATCTGGAGGATCTTTGAGGTCCCTTCCAATCCAAACCACTCTATGATTCTATGATTCTGTGATTAGTCAGCTGGACCACACCTGAGGTTTCACAGACCCAGCACAAAGAACAGGCTACAAGTTCCAGAGAAATGGTGAAAATACACAGAGATCAGCCCCCTGTCACGTTAGCACTGAAGGCTAATACTGCTGTTTGTTGCCCAAGCGGTAGTCAGAGCTTCAGTGAGGAAGCATTTTGGGTGTGGTGGTGTGGCTGTGCCTGCTCCTCTGAGAGCTGGTGCGTTTGATGTTGGTGTAAATGTTCTTTTCAGATGCTAAACCCACAACCCTCAGGAATTTTGACAGGTGAGTGCTGGAGAGCTGGAGCAGGTCCCTGACAGCTCTCTGATCAGCAGCACTGTGCCTGTCTGCAGCCTGCTGATTTCTGACATCCTGAGCTGGAGCACCTCCGTGCTTGCAAACAAGACAGAGCCAGCATCCTTTCTGCATAGCCCCCTGGAGCTGGAAAGCCAGAGTGACTAACACCGTTCTAAGAAAAAGAAGATTTTTTTTCCAGATTTGTTTTCATTTGGGATGATAAAAAGCATGAAGAGGTCAGCCCAGACAGTAACATTTCTGGAAAAGCCATAAGCACTGGCTAATGGGTTCTTTGCACAAGCTGCATCAGCCCCTGCCATGTCATCCTGCTGCTATCACTTAGCCTTGGATATTAGTGCCAGACACTGCCTGGTTGGCAGGACCCACCCTGCTGAGGTCAAGGGCACCTTTTCTTTATGCAAGGACTAATGATGTGAGAAGATGATGCAAGAGCTGACTGTTTTCACTCAACTTCAATGCTTTATTAATAGCAGTGCTAATGCAGAAGGCCACTCTTTGCTTTACTCCACTAAGGAAATCAGTGGGACGTGCCTGAGGAAAGACTCTGTGTAAAGTATCAACTTAAAATTTCCCACTGCTGGAAGGTATTTTCATTTAATGTTATTTATGCAAGGAAATGCCACCAAAAGCCCAGGTGCAGATCTTTATTGGTCTGTGCCAGGAAAACAAACAACAAACAACACTGCTTTCTCACTCAAGCTTCTCACAATAATTAGAAGAGGAAAATCACCTAATGAGATCCAAAGCTAGTTGGGGGAGGGGCTGGACTGGGGCTGCCACATCAAAATGTATACAGAGTGGTTCCAGGACAGCACTGCTGGCAGGCAGCAGGAGTGATAGCCAAGGAAGAGAGAGGATCTTCCATTCTGAGTGTCCTGAAAAAAAGAAACTACAAGATGCTTCCCTCTCCTCCACCATGCTCTGAGCTCATATCCCAGAAGCAAAACTCACCTGGTTCATCTTCTGTCTCTAGGAGGCTGTGGAATCCTTGTCTGATTCATCAGAAAGCTTCACTGCTGTCTCTTCTGGGCTTTCCTGGCCCAGAGGTTTAGCCTGTTCTGATGCAACTGGGACAGAGCCAGTGCTGTCAGCTGCACTTGGCCCAGCAGCTGTCCCACTCCAAGCAGTGCTGGCTGTCTCCTTTAACCTGCTGGCAGATGTCTTCCCATGCTGTGTCAGATCAGCCAGTACCCCCTCTGTGTCCCTGTGGATGAGCTGATGAGCAGCATAGATGTGTTTTCTTTGGGCCAGCCTCACTGCACATAAAAAGAGGGAAGGCTTTTACTTGGAAATGTACAGCAAAGTGTTCTCCATAGGGGAGAAGGGAGGAGTAGCTTTTAAGCCTTCCTGCAGCTGTGGAAAAGACTAGCTCAGGGAAAAAAAAAAAAAAAAAGCAAGCACGCCCTTCTAACTTTGGCTGAAAGTGTTCTACTGCCACCTAATAGCAGCGACCAACTTTGCATTTCACTTGGAAGACCAGCCCCCACAGCGGGAAGCACAGCCAAACTGTTTCCAGCTTAGGGCACAACTGCCCAGGATATGGCATCAGGCTTTAAAGTAACTTCTCCTCAGAGTCTGTTAACTGGAAGACTGGGCCTGAAATCTGCCCTCTCCTCTGTTACAATTTTGCCTGCACTGAGAAACTCATACAGACTTCCAAGCAAAACCTGGCAACTGTACAGACACATTAAGTCACCTACCTTATCTTCTCCTTTTTGCTACTGCAGGATTGTTTGTTACTGTTTTACAGTTTTCATCCAATCTCATTTGTGTGTATTTCCAGACCACCTCTTGGGAAATCAAGAATCACAGAATGGTTTGGGTTGGAAGGGTCCTTAAAGATCATCTAGATCCAACTCCCTACATGGGCAGGGACACCTCCCATTAGATCAGGTTGCTCAAAGCCCCATCCAACCTGCCCTTGAACGCTTCCAGGGAGGGGGCAGCCACAGCTTTCCTAGGCAACCTGTGCTGGTGTCTCACCATCCTCACAGTGAAGAAGTTCCTCCTAGTGTCTATTCTAAATGTCCCCTTTTCCAGTTTGAAACCATTATCCCTTGTCCTATCACTACATGCCCTTATAAAAAGCCCCTCCCCAGCTTTCCTGTAGCCCCTTCAGGTACTGGAAGGCCACTATAATGACTTCCTGGAGCCTTCTCTTCTCCAGGCTGAACAGCCCCAATTCCCTCAGCCTGTCCTCATTGCAGAGGTGCTCCAGCCCTCTGAACACCTTCGTGGCCTTTCTCTGGACTTGCTCCAACAGCTCCATGCCCTTAATTACTCAAGCCAGATAATTCACCCTATAGTTCTCTTAATTGCTCTTCACTATTCTTTGTTCCCTCTTTCTCTCTCTAGACTTAAGATGCTGCTAAACAATCATGGAGATTGCAATACTGTGTACTTGTAAGGAGGGCGTGGGGAATGTTGCAGGAATGATCTGTGGCTCTTATTGTGTCACTTCCCTGCAAAAGTTCAAGACTTCCTTGTTGCTTTGGTCTGTTTATGTTGTAAGGCTGAGCTGTACTCTGAGTCTGAACCACTGGTGTCTTGCATGCTGTCATGCACACCTGCATGCTGTCACTGACTCAGTCCCTCAACATTACTAACCCACCCTCTTTATGTTTATCCATCTCCCAGATCCATTTTGTCAACAGAGTGCAACTGGATCTCTCTTGCATTTGAAAAGCTGACTTTCACCAGCCTACTCTGAATTCCCAGGAGAGTTGCTCTAACCAAGGCATTTTGTCTTCAATCATGTATGCATGAACTCCATTAACCATACTGGGAATACTCTCCTGGTATTGTTGCAGTCCCTTTGTCCACCCACAGTGAATACCATCTAAAAGAACATGGGTTCAAACTGGTGAGTGACTGTCCTTTTAAAAGCAACTTTTTTTTCATATCAGCACATTGACTTCTACTTCCAGTGAGGGAGGGCTCAGAAGTGAGGTGCAGAGGAGTTTCAGGATGAGAAAGTATTGGATAATCCTTGCTTTTATGCATAGGAATGCAACAAAAAAAAAAAAAAAAAAAAAAAAAAAAGGGGGGGGGGGAAGGGAAGGGGAGGAGGGAGGAAAGAGAAGCCCAGTTAACGGCAAAATAGGAGGGAAGCTAAAGTGTAGGCAAAGACTGAACTTATGGGCCCTCAAATCTTTGCTCTACAAATAGATTTGCTCCTCTGGAAGGCCAGAAGCTGTGCTCTCAGATCACTTCCTGCTAGTTTCAAGGAAGGTGCATGCTCAAGCACATGCCAGGTTGCTGAAACCCAGGTGTGTCATGAATAATCTGGCTCACTATAGGAAAAGCTTTAAAAGCTGCCATAGAAATACAATGCACTGATGTGCTCATGAGATGTAAAGCCATTCTTTGATAGCGTTTCCTTTGGATTTATATGGACTAGTTACTGATTCTGCTCCCTTGAATGTGTTGCTGTGCCAGAGACTGATGACAGGGTGTGTTCATCAGAGTGTACGTGAAGCAGAATTTGTGGAGTTTCCTCTATGCAAGGCAGCAACAGCAGAAGAGAGAATGAGCCAGGTCTTTTCCTGACATTTGATACCTGCTGCCACAAGAATATTGTAGCAAATTTCACCTGACCAAGTCTGAAGGAGCTCTTGTACTTCATCACTTACTACTCTACCTCTTCCTCCAGCATCCACTTTAATTTTTGCCTGGGTCTAGCTCTGCTTTCCAGGCAAACTCACTGTGGCTGTCACAGATTTTCAAGATTTTTTTCCTCTGTTGCTTGGGAGTACCTCTGAGGTGCTTTGTTCATCAGCTGCTGCAGCATTTAAGCCCAGTACATATTGTCTTCCTTGCTGCTGCCCCTATTTGTTCAGAATCTTAGGCATACTCCAGGTCTTCTCCTTCTATTCTCTTTTCTGAGACAGGCTATGCTGTGTGTGTGTTAGTGCCTGAGCTGCAGGCTTCATTGGAAAAATGACATCACCTGCTTTGGTAGGCTTGCAGAAGCAGGGCTAAGGAAAAGAGAGCTGGTTTAAGCTTATGCAGAACTGCCAGCTGCTGGATAGATACTGTTGTTGTGACAAATACATGAGCTAGGGAAGAAAAAAGTTTCCATAATTCAGAGACCACAGAATATGTTTGCAGGTTTGTGTTTTCATTGACAAAGCAACAAGAAAGCAATGAAGTAAGTGCCTTTGTTCTCAAGTCAGAGAAGCACACTGCAGTAAGGACCACTTCAGACTCTGTGGTGATACAGTTGCCTTTCTTAGGTTACATCCACTTTCTATGGGTTTAGTCATGGTCTTCTGAGTGTGTTGGTTAGTGGAAACATCCCAGCCATCTATTCATGATACTCAACGTAATACACAGGTTTCCAGGGTTTTCCCCTCTGTATTTTGACAGACACTATTCCATTTTGGCTAAACATATGTATCCTTTGCAACTGCAAGATTACCTAGTCTAAACATGATGCCACTACAGCCTACCCTAAAACCTTATCTTTGCTTCTAGCTCTCAATAAACTGGGAAGGGAGGGGGGTGGGACGGTGTGGGGGGGGGGGAGAGGAAAGCAAAGGAAAGCATATATCCTGCCTTCCACTGTATTTTGACAGACACTATTCCATTTTGGCTAAACATATGTATCCTTTGCAACTGCAAGATTACCTAGTCTAAACATGATGCCACTACAGCCTACCCTAAAACCTTATCTTTGCTTCTAGCTCTCAATAAACTGGGAAGGGAGGGGGGTGGGACGGTGTGGGGGGGGGAAGAGGAAAGCATAGGAAAGCATATATACTTCCTTCCACATATAGCATATATTTAAGTAATGTGCCTGTTAAAAACGTATACAGGTTTTAGAAATTGCCATATAACAGACAATTCACAGCCATGCTCCTTAAAGACTTCTCCTAGTTTGTTTTTGAAGGTGCAATGGACTGCTTCTTCTCAGGTAGTTTTACTGTTGTAGATACACCAAACTCACACCAGGTTCAAATTCAGGGCACCTTTTTAAAAGGCTAAAGCTCAGAAGAAATTGGTGAAAAAGGGCCAGAGGGGTTAACTTTCCACCTGCAGAGTGCAAAAGTGAAATCTCAAAGAACTGAGACAACTCTTGGTACTGCACCTTTCTTTTCAGTGAGCTAGAGTGAGGAGGGTGAACTGAAAGAATGAAGTCCCTGAACTCCTTACCTTTTTCTCTGATAGACATCTTCTCAGCTTCTGGAATCAGGAAATAAAAAACCAGCTCTGCTACAATCTCTTCTGACTGTAGGCGAGTTAGACTACAGAACAGATGCAGAGTAGCATTAGTATTTTAATTTTCTTTCCAGGTCACGTCTGCAAACACAAGACTCCCTTGTAAATATTCTGGCCATTTTCAAGGGAGGGTATTGTCATGGCAGGGATTGGCAGCTGAGTCTCCCTCTACAGTACAAATAGGTGGCAGTGTGACTATTCCCCACTGCACTGCCAATGTGCTCAATACTGCACTGGGAAGCAGTATGTCCAGGGAGATCACCCTAGACTCCTTATCCTCCAAGGATAAGGATGACAAACTGAGTTACACACACAGATACCTCTGAGGATTTTTGTCTTTGTCCACTTAGTCTTTGGCCCATGGCTGAGTCTGCTTAATTGTTCCCTTTTGTGACTCTGCATTTGGCTGGTCCCCATGCTCTTTTCCATGCAAATGTTTGGTGGGTTCCCAATTGGCCCAGGGGCTGCATGCATTATCTACACTTAATTTTCCCCAAGGATTTCAACAGTCTGCCTGTATTCAGCTAGTTACAAAATACACAGCTGCTCTACCATAGGAGAGTCACTGTGCCATTGGGATTTTTTATGGCTCAATTCCCCCCCCCCAAAAAAAAGTGCATAGAAACTGCACTGGAGGTTTGGCAGGTTCTAAAAAGTATTCACTGCTGATGCCCCAGCCAAACACAAGACTGTGGTGTTCTCAACAACTTACTCTACTCAAAATGCCCTGTCAGGCAGCCATCAGTATGACTGACCCCCATGGAAACTGGCAGTTTCTTAAAGAACAGCCACCCCAGAATGAAAGACTGCTGTGTAGCTGTATCTTTTAGCATCTCTTCCAAACTGATTTTCTGTACTAGTGTAAATAAATGAAAAAGACCAATATGAATGGGCACTGCTTTAGGCAGTTCCCAGATTCACTTCAAGCTCAGTCACAGAATCACATTGGTGTGGAGAAGTCTAAAAAGGGTGATTCACAGATCCCACAAGTGATTTGCAAAGGGAATCTGGCATGTGCTGTATGGAAAAAAGGCTTTGATGGATTTATATGTGTGTACCAGGTGGTAATAGCGTGATTCCCATACAGCAGGAACACTAATAAAGAGATCAGGAACAGTAGCGCTCTGCCCTTCCCATGTCTCAGGTTCTGCATGTGACCACAGATGCAGATGGTCAGGCAGGTTCCAGACTGCTGTAAACAGCCTCCAACGTGCCACGTAATATAACCTACCGACTTTCCATTTCGTAAGCAATGTTGTTGACTTCTACAGCCAGTCTCTGAACCTCTTCCCTGGCTTGTTCTTCAGCTGTGTCCTCCATGCAATTCAGGATAACATCTTCCAAGTAGGAGTCAATAGTGCTCTGGTGCATTTTCACCACCTGGAACAAAAACACCTAGATATTGTTCCTCCGCCTATTGCTGTGCCAGAAGCAGGGTGGAAGGAGATTTCCAAAGAAGGAAGAACAACAGATTTTCAACAGGCTCTTAATTTCAGGCAGGCCAGCCAGAGATTTGGTTTCAGAGGTGCTTTTTGGGCAGGGTAACTTGTGTAAAAATGTATTTTCTAACAATTCTTTCAGATAACTAGTTGAACAGAAACAAGTGCAGGAAAGAATGGGTGGTGGAAGAAAAACATCCAGAGATCCAGGACTGCTGCAGCAGGTTAGTTCTCTGAAAGCAATGACAGTTGCTTCCTCAATTCTCGTGGTTCCCTGAGCAACAGCTGTCAAATAATGCTCATCAGTATTGACCTCAGTAAATCAATCTGCTTTGATTCAAGCAAATCCTAAAGGAAAAAGTTTCATCAAGCCAGTCCAAGCAACATGGATAAAAACAAGACAAAATTATTGGTTTCTTTATAATGGCTGTGAAACACAGATTCTAGAAATGGGTCTTTTTCCTCTGCTGGTCTGAAGGGCATAGGCTTCTGGCACTTTGACCCTTCTACCTTCCCACTCAAAGACACAGGAAAGTTATGAGGAGAAGCTACAATTAAAATAAAAATAAACATGATGCCAGACTCTCTTGGTATTAACCTCCTCCCACAAAGCTGGAAAATTATTGGTTTAGTCAATTAGGCTCCCACTCGTTCCTTTCAACTGGGAGAGAAATGCTTCATGCAGTCAGAAGCTAGGGAATAGGACTCTTGAATAGTTGTGTTGTATGTTAACTCAGGACTTTTGTTTCTGGATTTCAAGGTTAGGTTATCCATTGTCATTAGTTCAAAATAATTTTTGTACCTCTTAGTATTTGCAGTCCACTTTTTTATCTTTCCCAAACCTTGCTTAAAGACATTGCTCCTGGAAGAACACTTAATACTTCTGCTGGACAGACCAAGTGCTGTCAAAACATTATTCCTAAAGATGATCTAGGCACAACTGTTCTCAATAGGTGTTAGTTGTGGAAATTTAGAAACATACATCCATTAATGATAGGCCTAACAGGACTGTCTGCAGGGCTATTCAGATCATCCTTAATTTAACAGGAATGACTCTTCAGGAAGGAATCACCCTCTCTTCCCCTTCAATTTTAAAATGTTGGTGATTTAAAAATCACCAAAGCCAGAGCTGAAGAACCTCCTCTCCCTCTGGACCTTCGCACCGGGAGGCAGTGCCTACAAACCACCCACAGTCCCATCCGTCCATCCATCCATCCATCTTCTCTTGCCTGTCTGAAGAGCTCATCTGCTTCCAGGCGCTGCCTCTCCTCCAGCTGACGAAGCCCGCTCTCCTCCGCCTCCCGCATCCGCCTCTGCCTCTCAGCCAGCATGACAAAAGCATGGATCTTCCGTTCTTCTTGCAGCCTCACCAGCTCTTTGGACAAGAAATCAAGCATGTTTGCCAGTACCCTTCCTTCTTCCCTGGCCAAGTGCTTTTCTACTTGTGACATCTTGAAAAAAAAAAAAAAAAAAAAAAGGCAAAGAATTGTGTTACAAACCCCAGGAATGTTGTTCCAAGTCCCAGGACTACCACAGGCATGTGAAACAGCTCTGCAACATCCACTCAGACCAGCCGTGGGACAAACCTAGGAGTTTTGCATTCTTCTTGTTCTACATGTGCTGGCCAGGGCTGTGCATAATGTGACATTCCTGTATAAAGGCTTTGAGAGTATAAAGAGGGTGAAAGATGGCACAAGGGGTCTGGGCTATTCCAACCTGCTTTTCTGGCTTCAAGGATAATCAGAATAGTTGCTGAGGCCATCAGCTTGTTTCTGGGGAACAGTCCACTGCCCAGACCAAGAAAGGGGAGGCATGGAAATGACAATGAAATTACTTCAGCTCATACCCTCTGTCTCTCTGTGCTAAGCTTAGCTAGACCAGAAAATATTCTGTTCTTACCTAGAACCAAAAAATGGGATCAAAAGTTGCAAATGAAGCTTCCTTCTAGCATTTGGAAAAATCTTTATGAGTAGGAAGCTTGAGTAAAGATTTAGGAAACTGCAGTTGCGAGTACAGCCACATTTCTATCCTGTCCTAAGGATGAAAAATGTTTGCTGTAGTTCAAAGCCACCTCAGTGAAATGGTTCATCTTTGGTTGGACATTCACGATGCAACCAAACAGATATAACTTGCTGAGGTAATACAGCAGCCATCAGTCCCTGCAGTTTTAGGGACTGTACAAGTTACTAACTGCTAACAAATTCAAATAAACAGTCATTATATTGAGTTTGCAGAAGTGCAAATGAGAATTTAAATTCCAATTCATGGAAAATCAGAAAGTCTGTGACAGAGCCAAGACTAGATCCCAGGTGTTCAGCTGTGACATTCACTCCTTGCTCCAAGCACATCATGTTTTACGGGTTGGGTATGTGGGATTGCACTATGGAAAAGGGACAAGACTATGTAAGTTCATTATTTCCAGTATAGACGATGAAACCACAGTCCTCGGCTGGAAGAAATCTCAGGAAGGGCCTGGGATACTGTCTCTCTGTTGGAATCAACAGGCATTAACAGAGTCGATCTGAACATAAAACTCAATATAGAGCTGAAACATCCCAGACCAAATCAGCTTTCTTGTAGTGCCACACCATTTGCTCATGCAGCATCACAAAGACAGTGGGACTTTCAGTATTGCATGCAACTAGAAGTGACAGTGTTTGGGTGTTTAAGATGGCCCATGGTGTTAAGACAGTCCGTGGGTGTTTAAGATGGAGGACAGCAAAGCAGCAACTGCAGCAGCCCACAGGGAGGGATAACATGGAACTGATGTGCTGCTTCCTCTTTATTGCTCCAGGTGCTGTGTCTAAAGCCAGTGTGAAATGCAGGAAAGCAACATGCTTGTCTAAGACTCTTGTTCTATACCAGAGTGGAAATTTTTAACCCCTCACTGCTGACCATTTTATTTGGAATTTCTACCTTCTTTCTGCAGAAGGCATTTCTTGAAAAATGCTTTTTATACTAGAAAGGTCAAAACCTGAAAATAACCGTGAGCACCAAAAAGTTGAGACTTGTGTATCATCACTGACTTTCTGAAATAGCCACACACAGAAAACTGCTGCACATGGATTCCAGAGAGTTTTAGAGCTCAAAATGTTTGAAGACCTGAGCCTAGGACTGTGTGCCTTCAGAGATTTATTGAGAGGAAAAAAAAAAAGCAAGAGTGGAAGAGGTAGATACCAGCAGAGGGGGATAGTGGCTCTCCCAAAAGGGAATTCTGAGATCAGAGGTCAACATCTTTACCATTTGCTCTCTCCTTGTCTACAAAGGTCGTTATACTGTCTGAACTGCTCTCTCCTTCATTCTCACCTTGGCTTCCAGAAAAGAAGGAGCATTTCAATTTCCTAATGCCTGAGGGTTGTTTTTTTTTCAATTCCTCAGTAGAAAAATTGTCTTCCTGAATTTCACACCTGAGCTCCCTATGTATGAGGGAGCATTTGAAAATGATAAACAGTAAAACACCTGGTTCAATTTTTATTGAGATCTGAGGGGAAATTGTATTGCTGCCCACCCAGCAGGAAGCAGTGGTCTGGCTTTATCTCTGCCAGGCCAGCCAGCAGATGCTTATCATCATCTGGAACCTGCAGAAGTGCCTCACAGCTGGTCAGTGAAAAAACAGGAGAGTAGTGAAAAACTACAGAAAAATCTACAGGAATGTGGGAGATGCTGTATATCTGAGACGCAGTGAAGTCTGGACAAAATTGCTTTGTGATCCACTGCAGACCAACATCTGCTATTTGATTCAATTTGCACTGGAAGGTTGTGGCCCTGCAAAGAACTAGGATGGGAATTTACATCCCCAGCTCTCACTACATCCTTGGTAGAGGATACAGCCCAACATTTTTCTGCTCTCCAGAACAGTGGTAAGCACAACAATATGACTCTACTGCAAAGGTCCTAGAAGTCTCAAGCCCAGCAAGATTTACAAAGCCTGCTTTGGCTTCTTTTGTGGTGTTTTATGCCTGAGGAGGGGCCTGAGAGAGTGCCATGACAAAAGGAACAGGGAAGTGACAAAGCAGTAACACACATTCAGTAAAACACCTGACAGATGTGACTGACAGGCACGTATTGAGATGCCAGGTCACAGTACCAGTCAAATGGATTGAAATGTGGGAAAACTGAGGTTCGTCTGGCACTGCACTTTGTGCAGAGCCTTGTAAATATAAATCAGTGCTGTGTCTGCAAACAAAGCAAGTGCAGCCGGGGCAGCAGCTGTGGTCAGGGCACCTCAGCCTGTTTCTGAGATTTCCCAGAGCCTCCACAACAGTGAGAGCTATTTTAGCCCCTCAGGCACTCAATGCTTGGCCGGTGCTAGGGGAGCATTTCTGTTACTTGGGGCACTTTCTGTGCTGTGGATAATACAAAGCAGACATAAATTTAATGTGAGAGTGTTGGTGGCATTTCAAGCACAGAATGCCTGGTCAGGACAGTGTTGTGAATCAGCCCCCCCATCTACACAGGCAAACCTTGTGCATTTTCAAGTCACGCTGTTGCTGTAAGGCCAGTATCATCTCCTTCTCTGCCTTCAGACGCAGCCATCCATCCTCCTGGAGTGCATGAGTGGTGCGCAGTTCCTGGATCAGGTCCAGCCGCTTCTCCTTCCCTTCAAACATCTTTAAAATAAAGTTAAACAACCAAGCATATCAAATGGATAATATAGATCAACATGTTTTGCCAGCAGAGCACACCTTTTTTCTCTCCAAGTTGCAGGGTCAGCTGTTTCCCAGACCTAGTTCTCTGTAACAGAGATTTGTGGTTGCATTTAGGCAACTACTACTGCTGTCAGGTAAATCTTGACTAAACCCTTCTGGGTGGAAGATGATAGTTGAGACCTTCTGCTGTGGAGCACAGATGATCCACTGCTACTAAAAAGAATGTTTAATTTATTTATTTTTTTAATTCTGTTTGGCTTCACCTAGAACTCAAACTACTGGAATGCAGAACAGCAACACTAATGTCAAGCAAAAAAGGGAAATGTCCTTCTGGATGTTCTGCTACACCAGCCTCAATGTCAAAGCTTCCCAGTGTGAGCATTGCCCCTTTTCTTCAGCCCTAGGTTAGATGTCTCCTGTTTCAACATCTACTGTTCTCTGACCTTTGTTTTGAAGGAATCTAGCAATAGCTCAAAGCAATAAATTGGTAGGGAGGCTGTTGAAACTGCTCCTGTCCCTGTTAACAGCACTGTGGCCCACCCTTTGCCTGATACATTCTTCTTTTCATTCCTCCTCTCTTTCAACAGGACTTCCAAGAACAACAAAGGATTACTTAACCCTGCTCACATCATTGTCCAACTGAGTCAGATACCTCTGATCCAGTAGTAGCTGGCAGGAGATTCCTAAAAATGATTGGATATTTCATGGTGTGAAAGTCAACAGTCCTGCAATAGCATCAAGCATCCATCTAATAGATCACCACAAAAGTGGAGAAGATGTGGGAAGTCTGTATTCCACCTCAAGCCACTTTCATAGTATTACATGTTTGATAAAGCTCACCTCAGGGTCCCACATGAGAACACTTCACAAACATGAAACAATTAGTGCAAAAGATAATACCAGTGACCCAGAAGGAAACATCGCACATGAAAACAAACCCCATGGACTGGTCTGATCAAAAGGGACAGACCTGTTTAACATAAACCCCATGAGGCATGGCTACTCAACTGATTTTTACTTCGACCCACTCCTACTCCACTGAAAGCAGACAGGTCCTGTACTTACTGGAAATCATGGTGATATGCTCCTGGTCTAAGGTTTAGGTCACCATCACAGGAAACTGGAAAGATGGTATGAAATACAAGCTGCCCTGTTGGGATGTGGAAGGCTTCTTATGCCTGGGATCTTGGCATAATCAAGGCAGAATCTACTCATGGTCCACATCTAGTCTAGAATTTGCCATTTGAGTAACTCTGCTATGAAGCATCCAATTAAACAGCTGAGTGTAGGGTATGGCAAGAACAGGAAGATATTTACAAACAGGTGTAGGAATCTGGAAGTTCCCCTAAGAAATCTGGCTGGAAAGCAGAGACTCCAGCCTTGAAGAACTCAAGTTAACATCCAGAAAGATATGCTGCAGAAGCCTCATTACCCTTAATTAGTCCTGTGGAAGAAAGATTGCAAACACACCTTCAATCATTCCCATCATTCTGGAGACACATAAACAAAGAGACAGAGAATACCATGTTCTGAATCGCCCTGCCTCGGAGCAGCTTCTGCAGACAGATCACTGCCAGTTCTGTTTCCTCTTCCTCCTGCCAAAACACAACAAATATCCACACAATCTTTACTTGTCTATTTGGAGACTGAGATTTCTATAGATTATTCATCTAACTACCAAAAAGTCTAAATCATATCCAGCTTTTTCATAGTTGTTTCTGAACACCATTCTTCTAATTTCTGGGGAAAGGAAGGTGAGTCAGAATAATATGTACTTTTATGTTTTTCAAAAGATGGGGGAGAAAGGCTGTATAATTACATTGTATCTGAGATTTTAGAGGGTCTTTGGAGAGGAGTACCTACTAGTAAGGAGATGCTGATGGAGAAAATTACTCTATTCATTAGAAGTACTATTTATAGCTTGTCTGACAGAGTTTGCAAAATGGGCATCACCCACATGAATTTAAGTGGTCGAGACACTTAGGGGATAGAATTATTATTGAAGGAGGTGCAAGAGAGCTGTTATCCATAAATTAAGGGATTAGATTAAAAGAGAGCATATACAGCTTTTCTTTTGATATTTATTCCTGTGGTGACTTTTATTGGAGTAACTCCGTATATTTAAGACTCAGAAAGTGACAGTTAGGAAGTAAAAATAATTACATTATGTTGTGATTTGTCTCTTTGAGAACATTACTGGCCAGTCACTATGTGACTGATACCGACTTGGATGAATCATGGAATGTAGTGGGAAAGGGAACATGACCACCAGAGGGGGGAAAGAAAGGCTTATTTTAACTAGAGGAAGCACAACTGGCAATGCCTTTTCCCTTGCTGAGGGGTCTGCTAGTCTGGAGTTAACAGTAGCAGAAGGAAAAACCCCATTGGGTGCTTGGGAAAGATAAAAATAAATGTAAAAAATGCATGGAAGCTTTTGAATAAAGAGCCTATGAGGTCTGCATTGAAATGTGGTATTTTAGATGTGCTGGAAAAACAGGGAAGAGC